CATGTTACCCTATTTCATTACTTGGCGGCAAGGGCCAAAGCAATCACAACCTTTATTAGGAGGCCTAATCCTTATAGGGGAGGACGTGAGCAAGTGGAGGCATCGAAAGGCAACCAAGTTGATGTGACGTATGACATAAGGCAAGCAATTCATCTAGGAGGACTGCAACAAGCAAAGTTCATATGAGAAGTGTCCAAGGTGATGTTTCTCAGGATCATCGAGTGGATCGACAAGTGAGTCGCTAGGTTCGGTGGGGGAGAATGTCATGATCCATGATACTTGGGTCCGGGACATTGGTGCAAGTGTATGCTAAAGTGGTTCTATGTAGAATGTTGGCTTGCCAAGGCCACCAGACTTGGCCCATCACTTGGAGAATACTGTGGAGCCCATTCACATTGGTCGTACAAAATCTTCTAAATAAAAAGAATAATCTTCGAAATCATATGAGTTAGAGTTTACCTGAGAATCTTCCCTGGTGGCCATCAAGCACAGATTCACTACTTCTTGTTCCTCTTTATTTGATGATTCATCATCATTACTCCAAGTAGCCACGTGCACCTTGTGCTTCTTCTTGGATTGATCCTTTTTCTTTAGTTACGAGCAATCGTATTTGACATGCCCGAGCTTTTTGCATTCATAGCAAATGATCGGTTCATTTTTGACGCCTTCATTTCTTTTGAATTTTCTTCCTCTGTTGGGCTTCATTAATTTTATGAACCTTTTGGCAAATAATGACATCTCTTCATTATCATCATCATCATTAGAATCACTCTCGACTTTTATGGATTTGAGAGTAACTCCAATGTTCTTATTCTTCTCCGTCTCCTTTTTTGTCTCGTCATTCTTCTCGAGGTCTACCTCATCTTGAATCATCATTTCATGAGTGAGGAGAGAACCAATTAACTCATCGAGAGTTAAAGACTTTAAGTTTTTAGCTTCGATGATCGTCGTCTTCTTCGATTGCCAAGCTTTAGGAAGAGAATATATTGACTTCCTCACAAGCTTCACATTTGGAATGATCTCTCCATATGATTTGAGACCATTGGAAATCACATAAAATCTATCCGTCATAGCTTTGATATCTTCATCCGGTTTCATACTGAAATTTTCATAGTTATGAGTTAGAAGACTAATTTTAGATTCTTTGACTTTGTCTGTGCCTTCATGAGTGACTTATAGTTTATCCCATATTTCCTTGGCGGTTGTACAAGATGAAACTCTCTTCTTCACTCCACAATCTTGAATGAGTGGATGGAATGATGTATCCGTCTTACACGATATTCCATGCTCCTAAGTCATTTGCTTGAATGAAGTACCTCATTCTATTCTTCCAATAAGCATAATTAGCTCCACTGAAGAAATGAGGCTTGTTGACGAGCATTGAATCAAGAACAAAATCGAAGTTTGAAGTGGAGGTCATAGATGACTTAAATATCGATATAACACTTCCCGAATCGACTCAAGAGGTGGTTAAACCTTCAAATGAGTGTAGCTTTGATATCAATTATTGAGTTAATCGATCGACGAATCGGCCAAGAGGGGGTGAATTGGCAACAAAAATTTCGGTGGAAGCTTTTGTAGAAAATTAAAAAAGATTGCACAGCGATTTAGAGTGGTTCAACTTCTCAACTAAGGATTTTCCAAAAATTCACTAATTTGTCTTTCTTTTGAGGATAAAGAGTAACCTTACAACTCCCTCAAGAATTATACCCCAAATTCTTGAGAACACTCTCTACCAAAGAGAAGAATACAAATTTCGTAAACTTACAGAAAAACCTCTAAGGCAAGATGTTTGCACAATTCTAGAACAAAGAAAGAACACTCAAGAATGAATACAATTGAGAACAAATGGTGTTCTTGAAAGAAAAAAGAATATTGAATGAAAATATGCTTGAAAATGCTCAAACGATAAGTTCAAGGCTTTCTCTTTGATTCTCTTTCAATTATTGTTTCTGTTATTGATCAATGGCTCATCAGCTTGTTTAAATACACCTTGGACCACTTATAAACGTTGGGGATCATTGGTGAAGTGAATAGAGTCGTTATGGTGTAATTATCATTTAAAATTTTGTTGGGAGCGTGGGTGTATCGATACACTATCTAGGTGTATCAGTACACTCAGTGTAAAATTCAAATATTTCGATTGTTGGTTGACTTAGTGTATCAGTACATCCCAAGTATATCGGTACACTAATTACATTCGATGTTTCTCAGAGCCAGGAGTGTATCGATACATAGGTTGTGTATCGGTACACTAATTACATTCGATATAGGAGGTGTATAGATACATCAAAAAGTGTATCAGTGCCTAAATTACATTCGATGTTGGGGGTCGATACATCCAAGAGTGTATCGTTACCTCAATTTGTAAAAATCATTTTTAGCCCGATTATGGTTCGAAATACTTTGTAAAAATTGTTTCAAAAATATTTTAAGACTAAAACACAATTTTACACCTAAGTAAGGATTAAAATTGATATTTGAAAACTTGGAGTAATATTTTTTATATTCGAATAATTTACTCAAATATTAATTTTGAAATCGAATATAAAATCTTAAAAATTCAATAGGACTTTATTTGTTATATCGAAACATCAAAATGTTTTCAACATAATAATACAATCAAAACATTGAAAATAGACTCATCATAAGTCTTATTTCCATAAAACACCATATACCATATAATATGCACTCACCTTAGCCTCACTAGTCCAATGAACTCCTATAACTCTTTATCTCTCTCTTGATCAATCTTAACTTGTCGATTGTTCCGAAACTTGCTTATGTTCGATATCTACATAATAATACGATCCATATGAATATCAGAATTTGAATTACTCTAAAAGATTCTTACTAATATAAACTAAACAAAGCACTAATTTCCAATTTTTAACTTGAGTAATATCGGCACTACAAGTACAATATCGATACTTCTATGCTGATAGTATTGATACCATCCCACGGTATCGATACAAAATTATGGGTTCTGGAATTTTATTCTAAAAATGATACCGATACTACCACTTCGGTATCGATACCTCATGAAGAATTTGTCAACATTTGCCTTATGGTATCGATATTGTTCATGCAGTATCGATACATGCACAATATTATCACCTATTACTGCTTTATAGTATCGGTACTACTCATCCAGTATCGATACCATCAACCCAGAATATACTCCTACAACCCAAAAATTACCAACACTTCACCTAAACTCCACTTTTAGATTTTTTTTTCATGCCATTAAACTCAATTATACTCACTTTAACCATCTTTTGTCAGTATAACACATCGTCATCTTCAATATCTCACCATAATTCTTTAAACTAAGAATCTTACTAAACTTTCAACATGTTTTAAATCCCTTTTTAACACTTTAGATTTCTTATTTCAGCTCATGACAAGTCAAATTTAACCTCAACCTTCATTTACAAACTCTTTCTCAACAATTCACGTTAAAACCCCTTATATTCAATCTCTCATAATTTGCAATTTATTTAGTTTCTACTTCTCTTTTAGCTTCCTTAAGATTTCTTAATACCCAAAGAGTCAAAACATATCATAAAATATAAGAAATAACCAATTTGAGCATTCCTTACCTTAGCCACGAAGACATGAGAAAAGAAGAAGAAACTCCAAGGCTCCAAATTTTTCTTTCCCTCTTATTATTTATTTCCACGTGGATATAAATACACCCAATTGAATTTTTAATTCATTTCTTATCAAATGACTATTATACCCTTTCATTTTTCAAACTTTTTATATTTAATCATGCTCCAATAAATTCTAATTAAATCCATGTACTTTTTGATTAATCTGAATTGACCACAAAATTTTAAAATCTTACACTTTGGTCACTAGCCTGGTTTTTGGGATGTTACATAGTCCAACCTTGGTGGCTTGGAGTAGTCACGTTGGTGTTTAAGCTTTCGCATCCTAGAAGCCTTGAGAGCTTGGTTCCAACCTTGGTGAGTTTGCATGCTCACTAGGCTTGGGTAAGGCTTACTTAATTCAGAGAAGACCAATAAGTGTCAAAAAGCGACTAAGACTGCACGTTTCGTCAGACCTTAACTATGATATTGCGACAGTTTGGGCTTGAACGTTCTGAGGGCGTAACAATATTTATAAAAAAGTCGTTAACCTTAATGAGTTGTTATTTATTTTATTATGAAACATGTTATAAATCAATATTTAAATGAATTTTTTAGTCATTAATTTTCTTAAGAATTATAAAATAATTATTAAAATTTTCATATTGTTATAAAATAATTTCTAAAATATTTTAAATAATTATTAAAATTATAACGCTTTCACATAAATAAATATTAAATATTATCATTTTAATACCATACTATCATTATTATAAGGTCACAAAACACAATACCATACCATGACCATCACTTAATAACATTTGAAGATAATTTGCTATTCTAATGAGGCGAGACATTATATTTATTAAGTAATTTTAAGAGTTTGAATTTTAATATATATGAATGAGACTAATTGGATTATAAGGATCACTCTTATAACAGATTTCTGTAAAATTCAATCTAAATAATCAATTAATAGATCCAAACCAATTGTTAAACAAGAAAAAAAGAGAGAGTGTTATGCGAAGTGTGAAGAACAACAGATGAATTCTATCTGTTCGGCTCTCTCACGGATCGCTGTCCAATCCTCATTCTCTTTACTGGATCACTGCCGTCGGTATTTAGTCAATGTACGGTATAGATTCGCTCTCATAATCCCAAAGAAAAAATGTTAGAATGGCCAAACTTCAAAGCAACGCCGCTTAAAAGAACGAATCCTATTGGTTAACTTCAATAGCACACGGATCAGTATGTCAACCACTAATCAACTGTCGATAGTCTCCCCCAATCTACGGTTCATGTTGGCCCAATTTAAAATACTCCCTTCAATTACCTTTTCCCGCTTCTCCCAAACCCTCAATATATATACCCTCCAATCTAAAAGCCACACACCACGGTAAGTAGTTTCCTTCCACAAATACTTTCGCACGATCCAAACACTTCTATTCTCTTTCTCAAGCTCTTCACAAATGGCTCGTACCAAACAAACGGCTAGGAAGTCAACCGGCGGCAAAGCTCCACGAAAGCAGCTAGCCACGAAGGCTGCTAGGAAGTCTGCTCCGGCGACTGGAGGAGTAAAGAAACCTCACCGTTTCAGACCAGGAACTGTGGCTCTGAGGGAAATCAGGAAATACCAGAAGAGCACCGAGCTCCTGATCCGAAAGCTTCCGTTCCAGAGGCTTGTGAGGGAAATCGCTCAAGATTTCAAAACCGATCTGAGGTTCCAAAGCAGCGCCGTCGCCGCTCTTCAAGAAGCTGCCGAGGCTTATCTCGTCGGACTTTTCGAAGACACTAATCTGTGTGCTATTCATGCTAAGAGAGTTACGATTATGCCTAAGGATATCCAGCTTGCTAGGAGGATTAGAGGCGAGAGAGCTTGAGTCTGTTTGATTTTCAGTCGATTGATGATTAGGGTGAGAGATCTGATTTTGTTCATTTTGATGCATTGGCATTCTCTGCTAATGATTGATGTAAATCAATGGAATATCATCCCATCGGTTTTAACTCTGCTTCTTTAAAACTGTTTCACTTATTTCTTCTAGAAACAATCGTACACTTATCTCCATTAGCCATTTATCGTCATTAATAATTTAACCCATTACTTTTAACGAGACAATGTTTATACAAGTAATGGATCAATAATCATTAATAATTTTACTGAAAAACGGTCTATTACATCTATCTCCATTACTTTTATATTCCTGTTGATGGAAATAATGTGTCATGTTGGTATTTTTACTGAAAATCATATAATAAAATATTATTTGTTAGGTACTTGTTTCCCAAATTTTACCAATCTAGAAAATTTTCTAATAAGAAGCTTTGCGAGAATGTGCCTTTGGTCGTTTTTCTCTGAGTTGGTGCCATGGTGGGAAGGCGCAGTGTAAGGTGGGTGTCTTTCATTCTTTCCTTTTCAATTATTATTCAAAAATCTTGTCAATCACCTATTGACATCCCCTAAAAATACTTTCCATTTTTTAATGGAGTTTCATCTTTTATCTATTTAATATATATTTTAAAATCTATAACAAAATTTATTTAGTCAATGATGATGAATTATATATCAAAATGGAGTTTTCATCTAAAGTATAAGTGGTGATTATAATTATGAATCACAACATCCGTAATTCTATTCCCTCTAGAGTTGATCGATCCACTACCAAAAAATATATCTGTCATCATATCTTATAATACCCAGAATTTTGGTTAGTGACCAAAATGTAAATTTTGAAATTTTAGTGGCCAAAGTAGAAAACTAGGAAAAGTTAATAGACCTAAGTGGTAATTTTTTCAAAAAGAATTTTTATTACATAAATGGATCTTGAGAGAGGGGTTTTATTGAAATCAGATTCTTGATCTGGAAATTGTGTTAAAAACTAGAAATTGTTAAAGTTTGAAAAAAATTCGGTAAATGAGACCGAATAGAAATTTTGAGAAAATTTGAAGGATGATAAATTAAGCTTAGAAATATTATTTCCACATGTTAAAATGATAGGAAATAATATGGACCAATGGATTTGAGAAATTTATTTCCATGTCCATGTTCAATTTGTACCGTTGGATGAAAAATGACAAGATTGAAATTTTGGAAAGATTTTATGGGAAAAGTTGTAAAGGGTGAAATATTTTGTTTATTTTTGACTTTGGAAATATGATAAGGTTATGTGACTTATTATTATTGTAAATATCAAGTTTCAATAATGGTAAAATGAACATTTCATATTAAATGAAATTTTTAATTCATTTAAACTTAATATAAGGTAAATTAACATGAAATTCATTAGAAATTTCATAAAAACTTAGCCATTTTCAGATCCATTTTGTGTTGCCCATGACCAACGTAAGAGAAATTTTATTTTTCATTTTTAACCAATTTTCTTTGGATTTTAGATCATGTCGTGAAATAAAAAATTGTTATATTCGAAAAACACTATCATTTGGTACCACTATTGTTTGCTAATTTGGTTTATGTTCAAAGATATCAGATTCTAGGGTTTATGTTCACATTTTGGGTTTATGGAACTAATGGAGGATTTTGATTTTTTTTTGAGGTGGCAGAATCAATTCCAAGCATGATTTATGATTAATACATGCCTATATATGCTATGGGTAATTTTGGCCTAACTCTAATCTTGGAGGAAGATTATATTATGATGAAACTTGATTATGTATTTGATGGTAGAGTTTGTATAAGGTTGAATCGAGGTTGATTTCATACTTGAATCGAATCGAAATCTAATAAAATCATGAAAACTTAGTCTCGAGTATATAAACCATTCAGCCTTGGCCTTAAAGGATGAGGAATTTTTTTTCAAAAATTATGTAAGGGTTGGAAATGATGTAGGAAATATTCTAAAAGCTTTAGAAAAATTTTGGGACCATTCTATAATTTTTGAAAAGTTGGGGGACCAAATCAACAATTTTGGAAAAGTTATGGATTTTTGTGTAATTGATCAATAGTTGATTTATCATGCTAGAAATTAATGTTTGAGTGTTGAAATTTAAGTTAGGATATGAAATTTGATTATTTTGGAAAGCTTGTAAAAGTTGAGGTTTAAATAAAAAATATGAAAATGTTGGGAGCTTAAGTGAAAATGTTATGTGAAGTTGGGATAAAAAAAGAACTTGAGTGACCAATTAGAAGTGTTAAGATCAATACTTATGTTGTGACATTGAATTTCTATCGAATGAGCATCGAAAGATTTATTAGGAAATTATTTTCTAATGTGTGTCTATGTTAGTAAGATTCTAACATGTGGTTATATTGTATGTATTTTGTAACGATTCTCATTTTTGTTGTGTGAATGAAATTAAGATCAAGAAATATTAAAGCTAAGGAAAATCTTAAAGATGAAATGGAAAATTCTAAGGAATGTTTGCAAGCTAAGGGCATCAGGTTAGTGCAAATTTAATTTATACTTATGTTATCGAACAAACATTGACTTGGGATGAGCCAGTGAAGGAGTTACCATGGTAAGGAGTGACTCCTAAAATGTTATGTGATTTGTGATGCAAGCATATATGTGCATTTGGTGAGCTAATAGAATTAGTTCTGCATAGTAAGTTTAGAAATCACCATAAATTCTAAAAAAAAAATGATTATAGGATGATTTTTATACCTTTGGATTTGTATATCAGTTTAGTTTTGTTTAGAACAAACGGAAACTAATTTCAAGGTGTATACAAAAAGATATAAATTTTAATCGATGATAGGTAAGAAAACGGGGCAGCATATTCTGCTTAAAACAGATTTTGTCGGTCAACTTTTAAAATTCACCATAAATTGTACAAATTGAAATAGAATAAGTTCCTTATATGAATAGATTTGTACAAATTGAAATAGAATAAGTTTTCATTGGTACAAACATAATAATTTTTAAAGGTGTACAATAATATATAATAATATTTCTTTAAAAATATTGCAAACTGTCAGGATATGAAATTATGACAAATTTTGGGATTTAACCAAATTAGAAGGAAAGGTTCAAGTTAAGGCTTAGTGAGACTTATATTTTGACTTGCATATAAAGTCTCAAAGTGAGTGCAATGTTTGTATAATATTATACATGGATGTTTATACATTATCAGGTAGGACTTGTGATAAGTCCACCTTAATTATATTGTCATGATATTTATAGCATTTATCATGTAATTGATATATTCTAAATATGTCAAAGGTGAATATAGAATGAATTGATCACTGACTATTACATATGATGTTTATCATAAATGTTATTTCGGGTATGAACTGCCCAAAGGTTAAATGGTATTGATATACCTTGCCATGGATGGATCAAATAAAAATAGACTATATGTCCAACTATGTTATTGAGGGTCAATGGTATTAATGGCATGCCATAGAGTCTAAAAGATGCATATTAGATAACACTAGAGTATCTAGCGAAGGCATATAGTGCAAGCCTCAGAGTGTCTAACGAAGACACACGATACAAAACACTATTATGCATTATTAGGTGAGCAAGGCTCAACCTCAGTACTACGATGCAATCTTTGACTCCTATACTGGGGTCTTCATATGGTTATACTTTGGGCTATGGTTTATTGGTTAACAAATGATAAACATGTGAATAAGATATTGAGCTTATAGAATAAATGGCAAGTACTTGGTAAGAAACTTTATATCCGGCTATATCATGTTAATTTATGGTAACATGGATGGTATACAGGTAAAATGATCATATTACATTGAATATTATTATTCCTTTAAATTATGTTGCATTGATTTGAATATTTATATAATTGTCTCACTAATTGTATACTTAGCGTGTGATGATTTTCACGCGTAGGAAAAATGAGGAAAATGAGTAAGGAGTTGAGCTTGACATCAATCACCAAGGAAATATTTACATGTAACAATGATGACATCCTATTCTTTTCTAAAAGTTCTAGTTGACATGTATATGAGAATGAAATGTCCACAATTTCTTAATATAGTCAATATTAAATATAATTAATAATATGAATAAATATTATGATATTAAACTATGATTAACAATTATTTGAGTTTTAAATCAAACGTGCTAGGCAATCTTATTTATTTTATGAAACAGAACAAAACTGTTTATCACTGCTTGAAATTTGTTTTGAATTGGTAACCAAAAATATTATATTACGATTTTTCTCTGAATAATTGTTTTATAATAATTGTTTAACTTATGAAACTGATGATGTTTGAATGAAACAAAATTTTACTCGGTTCAATTAAAGAAATATTTTGAATTTATGATGTGACATATGTAACTCGTATTGGTTCATGTATATTAGTTATGGGTGTTACATGTCCGACGTAATAACAGATACAACTAGATGATTCATGTATTGAAGAGGACGAGGAAAAACAACATATGTGAACTAGCAGTATACAATGATCCTCATACATATTGTGCTAGAGGGATTAACCAAGAATATCCTAACTTGGACTCCGACATTATCTGCCAAGCCATAATGCCCATGGTCAAAGCAAGTCCCTATATAGCTATTGTGATGTTGATTTTAACTATACAGTCTTAATATGGGTAAACCGTCTCCTACATGAAAGCATGGAAGGCAAAGTAGAATGTTATTAAAAAAACTTCTCGGCGAGTAGGATTAATCTTACAACGAACTACCAATTTGGTTTAACGTAGTGCGCAGACTGAATCCTGGGACAATAGTTGACTTCAAAACTTGCCATGCATACTATAATGATTGAGTGCTTTACGGTCGATGTCAATTCTATCGGTTTTTTTGGACTTACCCACAGTGCATTAATGTTGTAAAATACTGCAAGCATGTGGTCTAAATTGATGGGACATTCTTGTATGGAAAATACAAGTTTTACTATTGGAAGTTGTCCAAGATGGTAATTATAACATTCTTCCAATTGCTTTTTCCCTTGTTGAAGGCGAATATACAAATTCTTGGGTTTTTTCCCCTAAAAAATTAATCTAACATATTGTCACAAAGGAAAAAAATTCTCTCATTTTA